ATTTTTCTCTCTTAATTCTCTTTCAAATAAGTGATGAATACAATATCAGATTACAATTTAGTCCTTTCGTATAAAGTTACTATGTTTTACTTCTTGAGAAACTAATCAATGTATTCGATAATCATCTTTTAAATTCTTATTAGATTCATAATTATTGAGACAATATGTTACATACCAGTTTTATTATTATTATTATTATTGAATCAAATTGTTCAATATGTAATAAATAATTATTGATGCATTTCACATAAATGAAAGAGATTAATCGACTTTTTGATTCAGTATTAAATGTTAAATTTATTGATGTCGCAATTTACAACTAGGTACATAGAATTATACAAAAATATACTAGTAATCTAAAAAAAATTAAGAAAAACAGGAATTTTTTTGTTTTATTTGTAAAATAAATAGCCCAAAATAATAATAGAGAAATAAAGAAAAAGAAAATGTTTGATTTGTGTCCTAAAATGACAAAAAAAATGTTACAGATGCTTCTATGATGGCCATTATTCAACTGGTAACTGTGTACACCGAAAGAGGTTTTATTCTTTCCTTTTTTTTACTTTGATACAATAGTGGCATCTCGAACAAAATTTGTAACAATGATGTCTAGCGCCATCATGTGTTTAAAAATAGATGTTTTATTTGCGATAGAGATACAGTGCATTCTAATATCAGCAACGATGCAAATAGATCAAAACAAGAAGAGGATAACTTCGAAAAATTAGAGAAAAGGTCTTGTTAAATGCATTCTAAATCTGAGACCATTTAACGTGTATATAGGTTTTTTAGTGTATTGAAAAATACACACCAATTTTATCGATTTCGACCTAGTTTTTTTTACATGTCAGACAAACTTTGATACAAGTTCATGAATCTATATCTAACTCAAAATTGCCATTTCTTGTATAACAGACATTACAGTAGACTTCTTAAAAAATTCTATTTTTCATTGCTAAATTTTCCTAATAGAAACATTGTCATATTTAGGTCAGACAAGATTCTCAATCTTTTTCGCTGCCGAAGGCGACTACGCTCGCAATAACTGTCAACAAATACGATGACTATTTTATTTTATTAGAAATTTAAGTTCGTACTATATTTTCGAAAAAGGGACAAATTGGTTTTACCCTTGGAGGCTACACAAATTTGCTTTTACATTAAGAAGTTTTAGCTGTCAAATAAATAAATCATGAAATCAATTCTGTTTTTGTAACAATATTTTTAAAATTTTTTCAAATTCAATTATTATCGACATGGGTAAAAAAAAATTCATGCGGTTACTTAAGAACTTTGAATGAATGATTCTGAGTTCTGTTGCCCAAAAAAAAACTTTAGATATTTTAAAAACATGTCAAGTTGTTGTAGCTCAGATAGTTCAGTGAACTGTATTTTGTCATCAAAAACAGTATGTGTTGTCAAAAATTACGGTCATCACACCTAAACACTACATCAAAACAGAAAACAGCGAAACATTGACATTCATAAACGGCATCAAAACGTTATTACATATGTGTGACATACGTATAATAACTTTTCAATGCCATTTATGAAGGTCACTTTCTTACTATTTTTTATTTCAAAACGACGTTTAGGTGTGATAAAATGGTAACTTTGAACAATATATACTAGATTGCAGAGTTGTAACCGGCCCGGCGAAACCGGACCGGGCCGGTTTGAACAGCTAGACCGGCCGGTTTTTACCGGTTTTTGCTGGTTTGAAAAAGTTGTGTTATTATTAATTTTTTAATAAAATAATATTATTTATTTCTGTTCATTACAATTTGTGAAACGAAAAGAGCAAAAGTTTTGTTTTTCGATGTAAATTCAAATTTTTCTATACATTAAATTTCCTCTTAAAAGATTTCTATTATCTGCTATTTACAACATCTTAATAATCAGAACAGTGTCACATATTGATTGTTATTTCTTTTTTATGTATTCCTTTTGATATTAATTCAATTCTTGTTAACATGCCGACACATATCTTTAATTAAATTAATAAAAAAGAGAGTAGGCCGTCAAGCTGATTGTACAGATAGATATACGTACGATACGATAAGTATTCGTCATATTTCTTTTTATTCAACACAGTAAAAGTACGTAACATAATCTTCTTATTTTTATAATTAGTATGGATGCGGCCATATAGTTTGTTAATTTAATATGTATCCTTATGATATTTTTTCTGTGTAAATTTTGTATATAATAAAAGAAGAAATTTAAATCAATTATCAGCTTTTGCAGAAAAGAACTTCATTTTGTCCAGAACATATTCAATCGTAGAAATTTGTGTTATTGTTTGCTATGAAAATGATAATATACATGAAAAGGAAAGTGTAAAAATCAATTTATGGATAAAAGGTCTATGTCTAGAACTAGTTTTACCATGTAAAGAAAATTCATACGTCTGCCGGTTTATGCCGGTCTAGAAATATTTTTAGACCGGCCGGGCCGGTCTAAGATTTAAACCGGTCAGGCCGGTCCGGTCTGAATTTTTTTGACCGGTTACAACTCTGCTAGATTGAGTGGCCAAATACCATCTCCTGAACTATTTGGACGAAATGAATGAAGTTTTTTCGATAATTTCAATTTTTATTTCATGTATGAAATAGAAACTCATCACAAAAACAGAGAAAAGTATAGCCCAAGTCTTCTGAAATCCAACAAAGAAGTTGTCTGCAAATTCTTGTCGTTTGGAGAAAATAGAGCTTTGATAGTTTACCCAAGACGAAAGAAACGTATATAGCCTATATCTTTACGAATCGAAGAAAATTTCAGTCAAACTTTCAAAAGAATGAAGCTGTACTCCGATCATTCTTATACTCTCTGAAATTTGACATCTCTTCAATATTCAATTATTGCCAAAATTTTAATAGAAAGATGTAGCAAAGAATCTTTTTTAGACAAAGCTTTTTCGAATAGAAGAAAATTTTCTCGACTTTTAAATATGAAATATGGATTAAAATGATTCGCTGCTTGCTTTTTCTGTACGATGAATATGGTAGACAGCATGAATCATAGGTATATTAATGGGATTCAAAATAAGTTTTAATCCATCCATATAAATTTTTGAGAGATCAGTCTTAAGGTGTCAAACCTACAGAAATAAATCTGTTATTTTTTTTTCATATAGTGAGGAAAAATAAATATCACTGAGTTTTTTTTTCTCAAAACTTTGATATAAGCATTTTACAAAAATTCTGAGAATAGAAAGAGTTAAGAATTTAGGATGTTCACCATTAGAAAAAGCCAAGTTAATAGAACATCAGTCAATGAATAATCAAAGACGACAAATATAAATTCTGCTCTATGTCGACTGTTAATGGTAATGTAGCGATTCTATTCACGTGATGTTCCAATTGTTCAAAAATCTATTGATCAATATCCCCAGTTTTCAAAAAGGAAGAAGCCACTATAAACAGTTCTCAAAACAGAACAGGTTCATATAGTTAAGAACTATGGCATGCCTTAAACAAATCTATTAGAACAGCTCAGTTCTTTTCTACAGAACTAGATCATTTGATGTCAGTTCAGTTCCTCGATCGCATAGTGCAACAAATTTTATTCGGACTATCGTATGATTGTTATTTTATCGGACATTTTAGAAAATAATCAAAATACCTGTGTTTTTTTCTCAGTAACAAGTCAATTTTGCATACAAGTGATGTTTTTAATCAGCTGATCTAAGTTGGCGTAGGACAAAAGTATTTTCTCAATTAAAAAATAAAACTTCAAAAGTGTTATTTTATTACATTCAATTGATAAAAAATAATTTTAACATACACTGGATACCGAAAGTATTCAACAAGATCTATGTTCAATTTTCTTCTGCTGCTGTCATTAGTGTTAGAAAAAAATCTGAAGAACGATTCGAATAGAGAAGATTGTTTCCGAAGGAAATATAAGAAAATAAAACAAGTTCCTATGGACGGACAAATTATATTTTAACCTTCAATTAAATTGCTATATCTTAGCCAAAAAATGTCGTAGATAACTTAGTGATGTTCCATTTCGTGGAAAATCATTGTACTCAATCGTTCTATGTAATTTAAACAAAACTATATTTACGTGTTCTATGTGTTCAAAAACGAAGGTTTTGATTTTCTCGAGTCCCTATCTTTGAGAATATGATTATGTTTTTTTATTTGCTTATGTTTTCGTCAAAAACTATTTTTTCTATTCTTGTTCATTTGGTAAGCACTCGTGAATAATAGGAAAACCTAGAATAGTTTAATTTTTTTCAGACCTTCATTCTTGGAATATCGAAGTTTCACTGAATTTTTCAATAGAAAACTGTGGCCACGTCATAAATCAAGTTTTGACTTCAAATTTTACACGAGCAAAGTTCTTAACGAGATCAGTTAACTTTGTAACTAGTGTTTCCTTTGTGGCCATATAAATATATGAACAAAATTTGATTTTACACATGAGAGAAAATTTCGTATACTCCGTATGTCAGAATAGGAGATGCTAGAATCTTTACAACTTGCTCAATGAACTAATCTCTGTCAGAAATTTGTTTGTACAAAGTTTGAAGTAGAAAGTCGATTGTTTCACATGATCATAGTAGTTTGTTGAAAAGCCCAGTAGAATTTCAATATCTCAAAAACGAAGGCCTCGAGAACAAAATCATTCTAGATATTTCTGTATTGAGTTGTGCATAATATCTTTCTTATTTGTTATTTCAAACTGTCTATTTTGCAATCGCTATTAGAAATATTTCATCGATTGAAGAGAAAAACAAATAAATATATGATCTTTATCAATCTCGAGACACATAATAAAATGAAATATTTTATCTAATAATCATTTAGATCTAAAACTACGAAATATTTTTATTTTTCTATGGAGCACACAAAATAAAATTTCAAATAGATTATATATTTTTTCAAAGATTTATTTTTAAATATTGATGTTGTTAAAGTACATTCAAAAAAAAAGCACTGCATGAGTATGTGCTATTTTAATATATAGTTTCAATAGGAATTGTTCGTTGCTTATCGTCTTTTGCCAAGAAGAATGCCTTCATTAGGTAGATCACGTTTTCCTAAGAGCACAGCTTCATTAGGTAGATCCCGTCTTCCCAAAAGTATAGCTTCATTAGGTAAATCACGCTTTCCCAAAAGTATAGCTTCGTTGGGTAAATCTCGTTTGCCTAAGAGCACAGCTTCATAAGGTATTCGACGTTTTCCTAAAAGGATAGCTTCATTAGGTAAATCACGTTTTCCTAAAAGCACAGCTTCATGAGGTAATCGTCGTTTACCAAGAAGGATAGCTTCACTTGGAAGTCGAACTGCACGTGCTTCTAATCGACGTTTGCCCAACATGATACCAACATAACCATCAGGAATATCACTGTTGCTAAAAGTACGTTTTTCAATTGTTGAACTTGTTTCATCTAAATCTTCATCATATGTTTTATCAATTGGTACATCATCATTATGTATTGGTGTAGCTTGGAATGAATCAAACAAAAGAAGAAAACCTTAAAAAAACAAAATCAAAAAATTATAATAGTTCTACTTCGCTGACTTAACTAAGTGATTTTCATTTATCATTCGAATTCTTTTCTTTTTTTTAATATCTATATCAGTGCTTTTAATAATATTATTCTAACTTACCCATACTAAATAGAATGGTATAAATTATCGGATTGGAAATCATTATGATTGGATTAGAATTAATAATGAATATATAAATGAAGCTCGAATCTGAAATATTACTGTACAAAAATTTTATATGTATGTATAGGCAATCATAATCTCTCATGAGAGGTTAGCATGAAGATTATATTTATGTATATTCTATTTCTTGTTGTTTTATTGATCGAGTTTTCTTTTTCACGATTAATATCGGCAAACATGGGCGATGAATATATAAATACATATATGAAAAACTGGCATAGCAATTGTTAAATGAACTGTTTCAATAGCTTTATATACTCTCTTATTTCCGATCCAACAAAGAGAGAAAAAAAAAGAAAGAAAATTGTCTGTATTTTTTTCCTCTGTCAAAAAATAATAATGTTACATATGTAGGCGATTTTTGACTTGAATATTTTTTCTTTTTCTTACTGATGATTATTGTTAATTAGATCAACACGAAAAAAGAAAAGATAGAATTAAGTTATATACAAGATACAGTAAAAAAATGTTGTCCTGTTTTGTTTGTTTTCTTTTTAAATGTTTAAATCGAATTGATAAACAAATGATTTAGCCTAAGGGTAATATATGATAATCAAAAATGACGTCTCTCCCACTTGAAAGCTTTGTTCCTTTTTTTTCTTTGTTCTTGTCATTATATGATTATCGAAATGATTCCCTTGGGCATGAACTGTTACTTGTTTTATTAATCAGATAAGTTGAAGTATAAGCACATCACAATTCTTATCGTTGGGTGTACAAATTTGATAAGTGACATTCAAATACATACACTTCAAATATTAGCAAGATAAATTTGATTGTCGATATGAAAGCATTAATCCTGAAAAACTTTCAAGTTCTGTTTTGGTTTTCTTACATATAAAAAAGCAAAAAAAATGTTTTAGTCACATGAAATTTATAGCATAATTTCACCTGATATAGTTTCAGAATCGAAACTTTGTGTAAGTGTGAGAAATTGTTCGGAGAGAAGTTTGAAAAAAGTCTTTCCAGTTGCATTGATTATAAGATAAGATCAACACATCTTAAATAGTCATCTGCATGATGATCTCAATCTTGATGAAAAAAGAAAAGTTCTCCACTAACAATCTTCACTAATGAAACTAGAAGAATAACTCGAATTAAACCCTTTGTTTAAAATTGTGTCCTTCTCAGAATACTGTTTGAAACTGGAAGATACAATAGTTTTCAGCAGAAGAAAATGTTGCGCATTGATCGTGATCAGCATCACTTATGAAAATATCTGATCACTAGTAATGCACAATATTTTTGTCTGCTGAATTTTGTTCTATCCTCATGTTTTAAACAAGATTTTGACGAGTTGAATATTCTGAATAAAAGGTTCAATTCGAGTTATTTTTCTAGTCTTCTGATGAAAAGTTGTTCAGAAAAACTTTTGTTTTTTTTTCTAGTAACAAGATTTAATTTCTATGAATGCATATTTCACTTAGGATGAATTCATATGCCATTCTTATGCCGTAGTTTGATACAGACGTTCTTGAGAATATCAGATTTGAAACTCTTTCTTTTTCGGTACCTTTCAAGAGAATAGATGAAATTTCATACTGGAACTCATCTTATACATTTCTCTAAGTATGAATTAGGACACAAACTCAATTAGATTTCCTCAAGTATATATGTGTATTGAAATAGAGAATGTACTTTCAATCTACGAAGTTTTCGAGTTGTGATTTTTCAGTATCTCTTTTCTGATAGTTGTACACGATACAAACAACTCCATATCCATATTCAGCACTTGGTTTCTTGATATCAAACAGATTCATACATGACAAAGTAAACTCATGAACGGGATACACGTATCTATTGAATAACTACGTACACATTTCAAATTTGCTATCCTAGGTTAGTATTGTAATACGGCCTGTCCACGGAAGTGGTGATTCCGTCACGCTCTGTTTGAAGTAATCCGAAGTCTTTGCTAACTGTGCAATGTCTCATTTTGACAACCATAATCATTTGTCAAAAACGACAAACGCAGTCGATTCTAGACAATGAAGTTTTATACGTAACGGAACAAATAAAGCGTGACGAAATCACGTTTTACGTGGACAGACCAAATATTGATGGTTGCTTTGGTCACAATATTTTCATTGTTATCCAGATCAATGGCACTGTTAACTTATCTGTCTAGAGCAGTTCCTAGACTTACATGAGAAATTATATTTTGAAATGAATGCTGAAAACGATTCGATGATCAGAAATATTGTCAATCGTTGATGAAGGTAGAAATTCATATTATAACATACAACTTTGAGAGGTACAGGCTTTGGTTCAATCGTATTCGATGATTTCTCACTTAATTCAGCTCTATTCTACTTCGGTTATAATTCATCAAATTAACAAAATTCATCATCCTTGAATAGTCAATAGTTAAAACAAAATCATTATAGTAATTCATCTCAAATCAAAAGATGTCTCACTGATAGAGATTCATAATAACACATCGTAACGCACTTTTACTCAGTTATCAAGGTTTAAACTTAACAATTCAATGTGTCAAATCTGTGAAAACAAAACTTGTAAAGTAAAAACAAACAACTTAATTGTTTTCATTATAAGTATAACGTGCCTATGCGTTATAAATGCTGATAGCTTTTTATTTTTTCGCTCCGAGGGCGACTGTAAAACAATTTTTCAAATTCATCAGTGCATAATTAACTTTAAGGTGAGCTTAATCATACTTTCGATATGCGATCCTGTTTCTGTAGATCGATCCCTTTCCTAACATCTTTTTTGATAACGAAGTCATTCTAAAAAATTAGATTGTCATTATATTTGAGTTTATTGTAAAAATAAAACATTCGTTCTGATTTCATTTGCGTGTTTCTTAAGTATAGATATAATAGAAAATCAATATGTAACCAATATGAAGAGAACTTCAACTAATATTTCAAAACAATCATTATACTCTTCTTGTTTTTATTTATGAAAAAGAAGTGTATATACAACACAACAAAACACCGAGACTCTAAAACACAAAAATAACAAACACACAAAAAAAAAATTAGTTCAAATTTTTGTCTTCAATTTTAATTTTTTTTGATATATAATCAAAATTATTAATATCATCAAATGGTCTCTTGAAAGTAATTTTCTTCTCTTCTTGAGCAAGAATTTTTACTAATAAATCATTTAAACATTGTTTAATAATACCTAAATGATTTTTCTTTTTCTTTTTTTCTTCTTTACGTTTTCGTTTTTCTTGTCGACGTAAATTACGTTCTTCTTGTTCAACTTCAATTTGTAGTAATAGTAATTCATCTTCTTCATTTAAATCAAGTAATTTTGATAAATCACTCATATCAATATCATCATTATCAATTTTTGTATTGGATTCAATCATTTCACATGATGAACGCTAAATAAAAACAGTGCATTTGAACAAAACCAGAAAAGAAGTTTTTTTAATTTTACCCTTGACGTGCGCTCAGATGATGAACTTAATGAATGTGAAAGTTGTCTATGACGTAATCGTTTTGAAATTATGGGCGATGGACTGCGTTCATTGATTTCGGTCTTTTTCCGTTTAAGTAAATCGCCTAATGAACCTTTTCTTGGTGGTTCTGCTGGAATTTTATGTTGTATTTTTGGTGGTAAACCATATTGATATCCTTTATTTATTGATAATTCAGTTGATGATAATGGACGTTCCCCATCAGGTAAAACAAAATTATCAATATTGAGTAAATCATCTATTTCTTGACGTATATCATTTTGTTGTTGTTGTTGTTGTTGCTTTTGTCGATAAGCAATTCGACGAGCATTAAAATGTGCTTGTTGATTATTTGTTAAACTTGTTATTGGTTTAAATTCAAACTTTAGTAAATTTGTTCCAATTGGTTGTAAAATTTTACCATTTTGATCAGGAAATGGTGTTAATTCATCATCTTGTTCATTACGGCGAAGATTTGTTAATTTTTTAATTTTTTTAAAATCTTCATAATAATCATTGACATCTTCATTAGCACCAATTATGGAAGGAGCTGCAAGATTATTATGAAGTGTTGGTGAAAATGAAGAATTATTTGTAACAGCATGCATTTGTACTGGACGAAATTTGCTATTTGGTAGAGACCTAAAGACGAATTTGATGAAAATTATTATTTGAAATCGTATAATAAAATGTTTTTGATTAGATCCTTGAGTATAAGTTAGTAGAAATTCTCAATTAGGAAAGATATTTTATTTTATATAAATCAATGAAGAATTTGTATCAAAAATGATGAATGAGGGAACTTCGCTATTGGATGAATTTTATTTCATTAGACAGACTAGAAAAAATTTAATAAAGGATTCGTGTTCATGGGCGTTTCCTTTTTAATATGCACCGCTAAAGTTGTCGAATGAAACTAGTTTATTAAGATGAACTTTTATCATTGAGAATTTTATTTATACAATGTTTCAACTCGAAAATCGATTTAAAACGTGATCTGAAAACGGTCACAGGAATCTGTTGATAAAATCATTATGATGATTATAACTCATGGATATAAATTCTTTTAGACTTTTTCTAGTCTCAATAGAATCTTATCTAACGATGCTGATCTCCATTAAAGATTGCATAATATTTTATTGAAAAATTCTTCATATTGAACTCAAATGCTGACGATGAAAAATGATCGAACAACTATGTTTTTTATCCATGTGCTAACTTGTGTAAAACAAAAGAAGAGTTAAGATTTTTTTCTGATCGCTGAGAAATAGTGCTCGATTTCTAGTCTGTTCTTCAGAAGAAAGGAGAATCCAAATCGTAATCAAAAATTTGAGAATCTTTTTAAACATTTCAATTATCTACTAGTAAAAGAACATTAACTTCTCTTTTTGGAATTTTACAAAAGCAAAACATACGAATAACAATACATAGATGTCCAGATAGTTTTTGTTTTGTCAATATTCAACTGTTTAAATTTCATACTAACATAAACCCATCCTTGTTACGCAGCCATATATGGACTAATCTATTAATATTTAGATTTTTTTTTTGGGCGAGGTAAATGAACTTACTAAGGTGCATCAATTCTATAATAAACTCTAGTTTTTTAAAATCCACAGAGAAAACCTTCTATTAGATGCTGAATTATGTAAATTCTTTTGTTTAATATCACATACTTTTTATTATCATCCGTTGGAAGTGCTGTTGTTGTAGTAGTCGTTGTTGTTGTAACATTTGCAGCATTATTATTTGTTAGATCTAATGATGATTTTAAATGTGGATATACTAAAAAGAAAAATAAGATTTTGTCATCTTGCTCAGAAAAATTGATCGAAATGAATTTCATCAAAAACAAAATATTCAGATTAACGTGAAGAAATAAAATAACATCATCGCAAGAACTTACATGTCAATATATCTTGTTCATCTTCATCTGTACTATCTTCTGTACCACTTGATGAAGTCATGGGTTGTGCTAAGGACAAAAAATAATATTATTAAAATAAATGAAATTTTTCTTATGATATAATACCTAGTAATATTGCACGAATACGTTTTTTTGATAAAATATCGAGTTGATCGAGACATCTTGCTTTTATTTCGTCAATAGAACGTGTCTAGGATAATATTAAAAAAACAAAAATAAAACTCAATAATCTATAAAATGAACGTTTTTTTTAATAATTCATTAGATTGAAAAAGAAAACCAAAAGAACTTGCATTTTAATAACCTTACCTTGGAGTTATTCAATAAATAACAAAAAAATATTTTAGAATTATATCTGAAAGATAGGGGATGATGATTGAGTGAAAGTTAAAAGTAAAAGAAGAACAAATATTATTATTATTATTATTATTATTAAAGTCAAAATATCTCTCTAAAAAATAAAATAGTTTCGTCGATAATAATTGTGTAGCTGTTCCAATGAATAAATCATATAAATTAATCTAAAACAAGCATCGATCATCAGACGAACTAAGTTTTTTTTTCTTTATATCATTCTACCTTTTTTTTAAATAAGAATAAAAATTTTATCCTCTTACCTTTAATGCATCCGGTAGAATAGCTTGAAGTTTATGACTACGAACACATCGAAACATTTCATGTAACATACGTTCGTGATCTTTTATATAAAAACCAATAGGTTTAAGATCTTCATTTAGATTAAGCATGCTTGCATCACTATCATTACCATCGGAAAGATGTTCACCTTCATTTTGACCAATAATTTGCTCAAAAGAATTTGTCTAAAGAAAACAGAAAAAATTTAAATAACATCAAAAATCATTTTTCGATTCTAATTTACTTTTTTAGTTAATTTTTTAAATTTACGTTGTCGTTGAGAATTTGTACTTCCATCACTATCAATATCTTTATCTTTTGAAGGTTCACTAGCAGAATTTGATGAATGACGACGATGTCGTTCACTAGTATCAGAATCGACATTTGAATCATCTGAACGTTTCATACCTTGCAATTCATAGTCTTCATGTAAACCAAGAGTTTTCGTTTGCTAAATACAAATAATTATATAATCTATTAGCTCTTTAAAACACATGGTATTCAGCAAGTGTTGATCAGAGTTAAGATAGGATAGGGCACAATAATGAAAAAACTTTCCGCACTATCTCGACTGGATTAAAATGGGAGACACGATGTAACTGCTGATGATAATCATAGGCAGAATGTTTTATTGAGACACATTTCTTTACAATCTTTTTACTTAATCCGTCAGAAATGCAATAAGAAACTAGTTCATATGTCAGAACGAGAAGTTATTGATATACAATTTTTGATCATACATCAGCAACGTCTGTCATGTTCCTCCCCCAAAAAAAACAATAATTACTATGTTTAACATGAAAAGTGCATTAGCTCGCGTTTGAAGCTTAACAGATATAACTAGTGATGGAGTGAGAAAATTTTCTAGGAGATGGGGAGTAAATCTTCGTTTGCAACTAAAAGGAGGTAACTTCTCTACTATTAATGATAGCTTGTTTCAATTCTAGGTAGCGTTCAGTTTTTTTCTGCCGCCACCTGGCTTCGTCACTAGATATAAGCTGACAACTGATCGTTTAATAATATTTAACAATATCAAAAAGGAAAATTTCGATTCTCATCTAGCATAGTTCGATCTAGATATGCTCAAGATGGCTCCGATCCCGCTTATATCTAGTTGGATCTATTAATTTAATATTAGTTAATTTCATAAGTAACAAAAACTAATTCTTTAGAATGTAGTAAGTTACAAAAGACAAACGAGCTCTTAGACTGAACAAGATCGTGTACAAGTGAATATCTGCTGTACAAAATAGAAAACGAAAATAGGAATTTTTTCTGTCTTATTGAATAAAAGTTTTAGAGTTCAAATGTTTCAAGCATATCATATCCTAAAGGAAAGAGAAAACCAAATTTCTTATGATTAATATATTGTTTATTATACGAAATAACAGATCTGTCATGAGAAAGAAAAGGAGAAATATAAATCTTAATCTATGAGAAAAGTTTAATGTCTTCCTTTTCAGCTTTCGAAACATCAGTTGGATTTATTACTCGATATAATAGTTTTCTTAATCCTTTCAAGTTCATGAAAACTATAATCTTTCTTCTCTAATGATAAGTCATCTATATGCCTAATTTCTTTCTTTCTAAAATTAATTATCATTGATAATTTAACTTGTTAATCTGTAACTGCAACAAACATATTCAAACTGATTTTATGCAATTTTTTAATTATTACACACTCCAATGAAATTTGTTGTTGAACTCATCAAATGGTCAACTTATGTTAATTCGTATCAAAAAAAAAACATTTTCAACTGACACAAAACTAAAAATAATTTTCTTCAATCTTTCATATCTACTCTTCTAGACATGAACTAATTAGTCCAATTGGATGTTTAATCAACATTTTCTTTGCAAAAGAAATATGACACTTACTAATCGTCTTGCAAGACCATGTATTTTCTTCTCCATTTCATCCGAATTTGTTGTTGATCCATTGGTAGATCCAACACTTTGTGTTTGTTGAAATCTTGCATAATTTTTAAATTTTTGTACTTTTTTATCTAAATATTTTTTTGTTCGTTCTCGTTTATTATTAGCAGCAACAGCTGCACTCGCTAATGTATTAGCAATAATTTCGGCATTTTCACTTTGCATAATACCAGCGAGTAATGTACTTAAATTATTTGGATTAGTTAATAAATCACGTGAATCAGTTATTGGTTTTGTTGAAGATGATGTACGATTTCGATTGGATTTTGTTGATGAATATTTTTGTTTCGTAGAATTTTTATGCATAGGTGATGATTTTAATTTACCAGCTGCAATAGCAGCAGCAGCTGCTTCTTCTTCTTCTTCTTCTTCACGACGTTCATCATCCGAATTATCCGATGATTTTGAACTTGAATGATGTCGTTGTTGTTTCTGTTGTGAACGTTTTTCTGTTGTTGTTGATTCATCTTCATCATCATCCGATGCTGTAAATCTATTTCGTCCAAGTAAACGAAAATTAAAACGCATGTCACGTGGTATATGTTGAAGAGGAAATGATGCTTGATATAAATTACTTATTTTTTCTCCAGCTTTTAATTTTTTATAATTATCATGAAATTGTTGATAAAAACGATTATTTGGATAATTTGCATTTGAATATTTAAGATTTGAACCTGGCCTTTGTTTTTGTTGCATAAGATTACTCATATTTTGTATCATATTTGCCATATTATGAACATTATGTAAATAAGCAGCATTATTTATTGAACCCATATGACCACGAAAATTTGTTAGAGAAGAACGATTGCTATTGTTATTTCGTATAGAAGGATTACCCATCATTGGTGATGGATTATTATGCACACGACCACCTCGAGAATGTAAACTTGATGGATTTGAATAACGATTATTCATATTGGGAATAAAATTTGGCATAGGTGAATAAACATTTGATAAATTTGAATCGGAATGACGAAAAGAATTTTTATGACGATGACGAGATGAAGAATCATGAGAATGAGATCTAAATAAATGATTATTTAGAAAATTAAGTTGAAAGAGAAAAAAATAAATCAAGCGAAACTAACAAAGGAATACATTCAACTATCAAGTATTATTTCGCGTTTACGAATAGAATTTAGTAAAACGAAAAAAAAAATTCTAATAGGGTTCGAGTTCGTGCAAAACTCAACTTTGAGCTTTTAACTTATCGATAGATTTCATGGCGACTAGAATATCCTAAAACTTTCAGCGCAACCGTATATACATTCATTTGCACAGAAATTTTATAGGATATTTTATTGCTCATGAGACTTATCCATTGAACAAATATCTAATAGTTTGTTTTCCATGAATAGCTAACTCAGAGATCACGGCTAAAATATGAAGCTGAAGGATGTCTGACAGTTGTATATGCTCCTTTGTAAATTTTGCCTGTTATCTCATACATCATGTGTAACGAATGAAAACTTATGGATTGAATAAATACCTTTGTTTTCAAGGGATTCTAAATTTTTTTTTTTTATTTTACAAAAGCTATCATAAAATTGCTTTAATTGGAAGCAAGCTGACTCAAGATACTATCAGATTATTATTATTTTTTTGATGCAAATAGACTCAAAACAATCATTGAGACAGGCGGAAGCAATTGTAAAATAATTTAAGGTGGTGAAGAAAAGTCGAACAATAATGTATTTTTGATAGCTAATAGAATTTTGTATAGAATGCATTCTAAATCAAGACTTCGTGAATGAACAATGATGGCATGATCTTCAAAACCCCAGACACAATAGTTTGTAGGCTTGACAAGACTATTTTTTAATAATGCCAGCTTGAAGATTACAATGTTCTCGAGAAAAAAAAAGAGAGGTTACCACATTTTCTATAATCTTCCTTGAAAAGATTCAAAGTGTTACAAGTGTAAAGAAGCGTTTTATTAATAAATTTCATTTTTTGCGGTACTTTTAACATTTTAAGGGAAGATCTTAGAAAATGCAGCGATTTCTCATTGTGTTCAAAGTTTCATGTTCTGTAAAATGATTTTGTTAAAAAATAAGCTCGTGGGACCTGCAACTGCTGTCTTTTATTAGAAACTTTACCATCATAGGTAATCAATAAAACCTTGATATAAAAAATTTATTGACTATGAAAATCACTAAATGGATTTGAGCTAGGTGTTTATTATTATAACAAAAATAAATCAGAAAAATATTGTTTTTAAAATTTTTTCTATCATCTTATAACCACATGAAGTTTTATCATAATTTTTCATCTTGCTATACTGGCTTACGTAAAACGGTGATGTTATGATACCAGTTTCCTTGGACTTGATGATCCAACTGTTTAGCTATCGCTTTTAACATTTAGTGTTTTTAGACAAGTGTCTAATAAAATATATGCAATGATCAGTAGAGATGATGAAATCATATTGTAATTTCATATGTCCCTATCTCTTGGAACTTCATCATATCATTGCATTTATCAATAAGAGAAATAATTGTTTAAATAAACGACTAACCTATCACTGGATCGACTCCGAGATGATTGATCAGTACGAGATCTTGATCTTGAACGACTTCGTGTTTTTGTTGTATTATGATTTCGTCGATATGGTGATTCTGGTGAATCATCTTTAGAACGATTTGAATGGTTTTTATTCTTATTTGATGATTTAATATTACTATTATTACGTAATTCAACAGTTGATGAAAGGTTTGTTTTATCTTTGGAACCTTTCTCTGATGAATTATTAATGTCACGTTTTTTTCTTGATGTTGAATTACGTCCACGTTCAATTGATGAATTGGATGATGAAGATGATGACGAACGCTGTTGTCTACTATGTTTAGATTTATGATGACTACTTTTTGTTCTCTTTGATTTTTTCTTTTTGTCATTCTTTGATTCGACAACTGTAACTTTTGACGATGGTTGTTGTACAGCTGTTTTACTATCTGTACCCATGAGAATGAAACAAATGAAATAGTTAACAAGAAAAACAAAATCTAAATCTAAAACGAAGAACAAAGAAAACAATATACGACGTTTATTTATACATTTATATGCGTACTCTTAAGACGAGAGGTTGTTTGTTATTTCAAGATAATTTAGTCATTGCCTCTATTATGATTAACTATTTTATATAAACCAATGAAAAGTTAATTTTGTAGAGGTCGTCAATATATGATAGAACATGGGTTTGCTGATGAGGCTGTCTAATTAAATTGAATAGGTTCTATTAATAGAGTTGTAATGAATTCATTAAATGAATAACCATTCGTTGAAAGAAAGAACAGATCACAGAAATGAAGTGATATAATGTTTGTTACAGTGGAGCGAAGTAGAATTAGTTAATCTATGAGCAACAAAATGTGAATTTCTTATTTTTCAAAATTCAGATGTATTTAACTAAACAATACATTTCATAGATATATCTCCAAACAAATTGCCTAGGAAATCTAAACTTTTAGTTGAAGAGCGTACATATCTACAATGTCTTATGTCACAGATCTTCAAAGTCGAAATTCAATATGTTTTTCTTTTTTCGTACTAATCCTTTGCTATTTCTTGAAATACTAATTGCTAATTGTAGTGAGTACTATTTTCTACTATCATATATGAATAACTAACTCACTATCAAATGTTGGGTGTTTTGTTTTACATAATCATAGAAAACTACCTTTTTGAAGTAATAAAAATCCGAATGAGATAATTTTTGAATGTTGTGTGGATCCTTCAATAAGTACCAGATTTGTAATAGATTCAAATTCTTTACATCATTTCTTGGGTCATTTTTATGAATTAGAAAACGGTGTTTCTTTTCATTTACTTGCAGAGACTGATTATTTTGATGTTTGTAAGATTAATATTTGACAATTTGGGTCATTTTGACCCATTCGTAATGAGTTTTATGAAAAATGGTTTTTCTAAAGTTATCTTTTTTTTTTCCGATATAAACTCATGAATAACACGATCTTCATTCTAAACATTAGATTGAAGCTTATAGCAAGTCAGAAAGTATTGCGTGACCATTATTAAATAATTACTTATCTATAAAGGAGAGAAACGCACAGTTACTTTTACGACTTTCCTTCTGGGAGTGAGATTTTAACGATAGGACTGCGTGCTTTCGAATCGGAACCAGTCTATGACTTCACATTATAAAAAGAACATCAATACTAACGACTTTGGCACGATTTCGTATATGAAAGAAATGATTTTTATCTGAAAATAATCGTCTTTGCAAATATCTAACCATATATCATTCTCCGAGATGACTTATTTAAAATATTTAAAACAACAAAATATAACTGCGAAACGACGTGCAAAAAAAATCATATTCAAAACGAATGCATCATTTATGACCCACTACATCTCCACAGTGAGATGGCTTCGCCAAAATTTATTCATACCAGTATTATAACCAACACTTGCCTAAAGTATTTCTGTGGTTACCTCAAAATTGGAAAAACGACACGACTAAAACAATATCCATTGTGAAATACCGAAAACTTCAATAACCAGAAGCCAGAAAATAAATAAAACCTATATGGATTATGATAGATTTCTAAGCAACTATTATTTGTTCTCGTGCAACACTTCCATCACTATTAGAAGGGTTTGCTAAACATTTGTATTTATACTTATATCTAATATTTATTGTCTTTGAATAGATTATTAGTTATTTTCTTGCCTTCTATGAATCATTTCTCTATGATATTAAAAATGAAGGTTTAACAAATTAAGTTTTCCGTATTGTAATTGGTTTTCCTTCGACTAATGGTTGTAAACCCTTCAACAATAACTCAACTGGATTAGTATTAGATGTGAAAGGATTAATCATAATATCTACCTATAACTTTGAAACATGGAAAAGTGAACAAGAGTCTATAGCTCATATAGATCATTGAACTTCAAATCTAATTTGCTCAATATCATAACATAGAATTCAATTAATGCAACACAAATAAATGATATTATTATCATACACCTAAATTTATCATGTTTTGAAAACAAAAAAAAACACTGAATAGAAAAAAAAACTAGCAAATTTATTCTGTCTGTTTTGGTTTTTGTTTTCCAATTGATTCTGCTCGTTGACGTGCCCAATCTGGTAATGGTGCATTCCAATCACTTGGGGGTTGCGTTCTTACTTGCCATACATCATTATTTTCTGATGATAATTTACGTTGAATCAGACGATCTTCTTCATAAGTTATTAACTTTTTCTATTAAACAAAAAAACTCATTCCAGTAACCAAAAAAAAAAGACATTCGTCTTACTAGTTCTTGAACATCTTTTCTCTGTAACCAAAACATACAACTATGTAATGCTTCAGCTATTGGTGTACAATCTTTTCTTTGACCTAACATATATCGTTGATACAATCGACCTTGCCAACCTGATCAAATGAAAACAAAGTAGAGGAAAAATCGTTTGGAAACAAAAGAAAACTTACTCCGACAATAATTTAATTCATCATTATATTCTTCACATGGTCTAATCTATAAAATAATATGATATAAAAAAATCTCTATTCTGTTTTAGTCAATTACCAGCCATTCACCAGGAATTTCATGTTTTACATCTGAAGTATTAGACATTATCTATAAATCAAAGAACTATTATACAAAAACAAAAGAAAGAAGCCAATTCATTTCAATTAAAATTGAACTACAAAACACACACACACATTGAAAAAACGAATTCATTCAATATTCATTAAGAACGTGTTCGTAACCCCCAAATGGATGTTCGACGTAAACCATAAGTTGGTCGAGCAACATAAGAAAAACGTTGTTGATTCAAACTAATAGATGAGCCAAGTAAGGAATGTAATTTTTGTAAACCACGTTCATCAACAACACCAAATATATCCAATGAAACAAGATGACGTAATTGTTTTAACGATCTAATTAAATAATTTTTTCTTATATAGATATGAATTTAAATAAATACATACGCATAAGCAATTGGTGCAATAGCATAACAACGTGAAAATGCTACCTGTTCTAGATAGAGACAACTATGTATAACACTTGTTACTGATTTATCAGTTATTAAACTTGAATCACTTAAATCAAGAACACGAAGACGAACAGCACGGCGTGTTAAATTTTCAACACCTAAAAGGATTTTTACAATTACTAAAGAACGTTTACTGTAAATGTTATTTTTCTTATAGTAATCAACAGTAAATAATTTAAGAACCTGAGATCATTCTGTCATTGATCTTAGATATTAGCTCATTAACTATTTAGTTTTACTTCCATGTTACAGTATTTTATTTTATTTGAGAGCCTAAAAAATGCCTCGAATAACTTCCACAGAATCAATAGTTTCGAATAAACATTCCTAGACAATCATTTTTAGAAGAGTTTCTTCGAACGCGCATTCGTGCCCATCGGTATATTTTGCATCTTTGACGATACCTTTCCAAAGATAGAGTTGACCTTCACCGAAATTGTAAGTATGGCACCATATAATATATGCCTACGCTCTCAAAAGTAAGTATTCATCTTCTCGAACTTTTAAATCGTCTCTCCAAAAGAGAAAATCTGGATAAAACACTTTTGTGTTCTTCTTCTTTGCATTTCAAATATTGCATAACATCTTGTGTCAATCGAAAGCATTAAGTAAGCTAAACTTTAGCTTTATACTCATGTTTATTTCTATCTATGTTCCACGTTTGTTCGCCTTATCTCTGGTATACTTGTAGTACATTAACAATCAGAAAACAACCATTGATATACCGCAGTATACTAGCTATTGGATTCACACCGAACAATATATCAGCAATTAATCGGTGATGGTTTGCCATTTAAATGGCTGACTCTCCTTTGATCGCCATTTTATCGCAGTATATCGAAAGTTATTCTCTGACCAATCTACCAGCAGTTTCTGTTCAGTTTGAATCACATAGATAGTTTTCAATTATTTAAATTGCTTTGCTAACGTTTTAATTTGGTAAATATTATATAGTTTTTTAAATCTAAAATTCATACATTCATCAGTCATTCCTTGTCGAAAACCAGTTAATGTTATTTGTTCGATGCTTGATTGAATCGTTCGACATATATAGTGAACACATTGGTCACTTAATTGTGTCCAACCCAAATTCAAATAACGTAAACTAAAAAATAAATTTACAAACAATTATTTTTTTAAGAGAAAAAATTTATCTTTTAAATACTGTTTCATTTGACTGGTTAATATTGAACAACAATCAAGATCAATACCAGTACACATAGTTAGATTTAATGTATCAAGATGTGAATTCAATGCCAATTTTCTAAATTAATATTAACATTCTTTGACTATTCGTATATATATTCATTTAAAATTCGTATACAAGCAAAGCAATTCATTACACCAAACGATTCTTATATGCAATAGATCATAGAAAATATTCGATAAGAAAACTATCTCATTTATGAATTTTATACAAAAACTCTTTCATTTTCTTAATATCGATTTTTATTTTTTATAAACTCACTCGAAAATTGATAAATTCAATGGTAATGTCTCAAGACTGAGTTTTCGAAGTGATCGACAAGCACTCATTAAACTTAATAAACAATCAGATGATATTGTTGCAAGGGTTAAATCAAGAAATTGAAGTTTTGTAAACCTATCAGACAAAACGAAAAATTCAAATTAATGAAAATAATCAAAGAATTAATATCAAATATACCATGTATTTCGATTAGGTGAATAAATTGAATTTCCAAAAACCTAAATCATAAAAATATATTAAAAAGATCGTCTCGTAGAAGGTAATCACTTTTCCTTTGAATAATCACCCATATCATTTTCTAGAGCAACTCGAGACGCATCGAATGTATGCAAAAAATTGCTTTTTCACCAAGTTTTTATGTTCTAAGAAATCATGTACTAGTCAAGAGATATTATAGCAATTTTAAGATTGATATGACCAAATATTAGAACTTGATATGTCTTCAAACCGATGTATATCAAATTTAGTTTAAAATTATTGTGTTAGAGGTTTGTCTCGCTTTCAATCGTTTATATTGCGATATAAGTAAACCAATCGGTTATACTCTGATTTGATGTGCGTCGTGATAAAATCGACGAATCAATTCTTAAACAAGGCTTATATTTTCGATTCATAAGGGTAGAAGAGTATGTAAGCTTTTCAATAGATATTTTTTCAAACAAAAAGCTTCTATTTATCGATGAATAATAAGTGCAAAGTGTCCCATCATTTGACATAAATGAATCTTTCGTAAATGGCAAAAACATTTTTTGTTCTCAGAGCCCTGGAGACTGCTATGAGAAAGATGATCTTTTACTCTATTTTTTGTTCTCTACGATTTTAGACTTTGAGTAACCAGGTATAATTAGAATAGAAAGTTCTATTGCATTTAACATATGTTTGGTCTCTTATCAGAACGAAAAATTTTTGTTATTTGCTCGTACCCTTCAGAGTTTTGAATTTGAAAAATTTTTTGACGTATTTGAAAGATCCATTTATGTCAAATGACAGGATATGATGCACTTATGATTAATAGATTGAAAATTTTTCACTTGACAGATTTGTCTTTTTTCAGTGTTGGTTTTCTGATTGGATCATGACAAATAACGCTTCAGAGAACAATCAATTGATACACTTATAGAGCTTGATGGCTCACAATTCCTAAGAAAGTTGTATGGTTAGTCGCTTTTGTCTCCAAAAGCAGTATCGAAAGATTGAAAACATCATAGAAGCTACAAATTAGATAAGCTGGTAAAAATGCTAAGATTTTGAGTACAAAGAAAGCTATTTTGATTGTTGTTAAAAATACACGATTAAAGACGAAACAAAACTCTACTAACATAATCTAAAACAAATTAGATGTACATTAGCTTGGACATACTGAGCCCTAAATATTTGATCACACCACACACGATTGCTATAATATCTCTTAATTTATATATGGCTTCTAATAACATAAGAAACTTGATGAAAATGCAATTTTCCATATACATTTAATGCGGTATGTGTTGCTCTTGAAAACCGTATAGGTGGCTTTTCCAATGAAGGACGATCATCTTCTTCGAGAAGGTCCGCGAAATAATAATAAAACATAATACAAATAAACTAACTGTAGTTTGGTACATTTTAAGAATAATTGTACCACGTAACAGAACATCACGTAGATAACAACTTTCAATGTGTTTTCGAGACATATCTACACGACACCATAAACTTGGATCATAACTGTAAGAAGATAGTTGTAAAAAGAAAAATATCTTCTCATTATTATTCATATGACTTATTGTTTTTAAACATACGTTAAAGAACGTAAGCGACGACAAACTTGAGCCATAGAAGCTAATGATGCACGAGGAAGATATCTTAAAATTGTTAGAATTAATTCATCCGATAATGAATTAAAATAATCTATTAAATATACGAATAAATAAATGAAATGGATTAAGATATAAAGAATACTAACCTATCTGTTTTGAGTTTGTTAAACTAGCATATATTCTCATTTTATTATCTTTTATTGGTAAAATTGAAGATAAATCAATTGGACGATATCTTATATGCAGTGGACTATTCACTATTGATGACAGTTTCTACATAAAATAGAGAATTTTGTTTAAAAAAAAATTAATTCTTTTGTATTTGACATACGGAATCATTGAGAGTCACATTGGACAATTGTCTAGTAATACTTGCTGAAGAAACTCGTGCTGATAATGGTCGATCTTGATCATCATTAATACCATTAAAATATGTAGTTCGACTCTCGAATAAAACTTCTGGTGCTCTTGGACATATATGACTATGTACATTGATTTGATTTCTAAATGATGAGAATTAAGCTTGTATATAAATTTCATTATCTCTTACACATACTCAAAAAGCGAAGATTAGGATTCAATTTAAATGATGTCAAATCCAAATTTATTGAAACTATTCGATGGCCACCTAAGTATCCGAACTTACCTCTATGATAATTTCGAATATACGATTCTATCAAACAAGATTTAATCTATCAACAAAACTCTGAACTCTTTAATTGATTAAGGAAGAATAACATTTACTGATATAAAATCTTCAATTTACACCTTTCTGCATTTATTTTTTCATCAAAAGCTCGTTACTTTTGGAGTGTTCTAGACACTCAAGTGAATGATGTATAGTCGGCTTCGCTTGTTAAATGCCGAGGAATGGTAGGAAACTGGAAGCAGGAACACGGTATTCGGATCCAGTCGCTCAGTTTTTACGCTTCCGATGAAAAACGACCGTATTCAAGCAGAATCGGTCATCCGGCAGACTCATCAAAATATTCCTTCTAAGTTCCTACCATAGTAGAAAGTTGCAATGATGGATTTGGGTTTATACTTGATAAACCAAGTCATAAACTTCATATGAATTCTTTATATCAGACGAAAATGCTGATTGATTTTAGAACTAATTTCTCAATATTGAAACGAGATAGCTTAAATAATTCCACTAAATACGACTACAATATTCTCTTTTATTTTGAATATAAATAATGCAACTTACTGTGAAACAACTTGTGGAATAAGATCAGTTGAATCACAACGAGTCAAAGATCGCGTTGGTCCTTGATGTTTTAATGCTTGATAACGTTCTTTAACTTTTGATGGTTCCATATTTTTTTTTATAATTCTAAACGTTATTATTTATATCAAATATTGTTTTCATATAAAATAAAATGTTCTATATTAGTTTTTTTATTTCTATCATATATGAGTTTCAAAGACAAAAGAAAGAAAAACGAAATAGAAAACATAACATCATTTTAAAACACCACATGTTCATATAACAAAAAAAAATATCTAACATTTCTTTACTATACTTTCTCATCTGACATAAAACAATTACAATCGCGTACGTAAACCCCAAATAGATGTACGTTGTATTCCTGTTGTTGGTCGAGCAATATTTGAAAACAGACACATATTTAAACGAATTCTTGTGCCAAATTCATTATATAATTGTTGTAATGAAATTTGTGCTAATGTACCAAATATATCCAATATTGTAAAAGCAGGTAATAATTTTAATGTACTAAAAAACAAAACATGATTTGGTTTTTTTTTGGCTCATATCAAAAAAAAAAAAGAAAATTTACATAAGTGCTGCTGGTGTAAGTAAATAACAACGTGATGCAGATAAATGTGCAAGTAAACGTGAATGTTGACGAAGTGCTATTATTGATTGATCAGTTATTAATACTGAATCACTTATATCAAGAACACGTAAACGAAGTGCACGACGTACCAATAATTGAATATCTTTAAACAAAAAAATGTATTTGAAAACAAAAACTGTGTACACAATTTCTGCGCAATTAAAATGTGAAACACGATGTACTGCTATTGCTAATAACAGAGATATTATTTTGTTCTATCGATTTTAGGACATATTCTTTTTTATCATCGTTTTACTAAATACTCCAAAATTACAATTCAGAAATAGTTCATACACTATAACGAGACTTTATTGAGATACGGTGTGTGTGATAGTCTTTGACTAACGTCTGTCACAGCTTGTAGATGGTCCAAATTTTAAACTCTATGCTTCGACAGTCGTTTTAGATCGTGTTTCACAAAAATAAAAATTCGTTTATTTACAATCATCAGTTAAATTATAACGTTGTCCACTGATATTCAATTCTTCAATACAACGAGAAATTGTTTCACATATATATTTAACACTTTCAGAAGTTAGTTCAGTCCAAGCAATATTTAAACAACGTAATCTATAATGATTGAAATATATAAAGAACAAAAATAGATAATTATTTACATACAATGAAAGTTTATTGGTTATTAATTGACAACATTCAAATGTTAAACCTGTACACATAGCAAGATTAAGTGTATCAAGTTGTTCATGTAAAACAATTTTTCTATAAGAAAAAAAAAACTACATTTGTTTTTTGTGTTAAAATAAGAAAGAAGGCTTTTACTCGATAATGTTATAATTCAATGGCAAAGATTCTAAACTAAGTTTACGTAATGAATTACATGAACTAAGTAAATTAATAAGAAGTTCAGTTGGAAGAATTGCTGATGTTAAATCAAGATGACACAAACTGAAACGACAAGAGAATTTTTATGATTTTCAAACATATTAAATAAATACAAATACATACGCAGATGGTTCGATATAAGTTAAAGTTGAGTCTTGAATCTGAAAAAAGTTCATACAACGTTATTATTCATTCAAAACTTCTTCTCTTAATATTGTGCTATTAGATTTCTCAAATCACGATTTAATCAATAAAACTTCAGAATTTCACACTTGGTTAATTTGAGGATAACTAGCTTTAGGACTACCATTCGTGATGCATCTGGGATTCGTGTGTACTCTAATTGATATAATAAATCCAATATACGAAGAATAAGCAGCGAAGTAACCATTTTGAACTATATTTATCTACTCTTTTTTCATGATCTTTCTCATTCTCTATTTTCGAGGTATTTAAACTCGTGCTTCACTGTTCAGTATTCACATATTATTCGAACTACTCTATCATAAGAAGAGCAACTTCATATAATTGACTAAATAATAGTTCAGCATAACTAGTGGGTATTACCAGCATACTCTACTAATCTCTAGTAAAGCATATGTAGCAGATGAGCGTTTTCATCTAATATTGTCCACTTATAACACTATGATAAAGCTGACTGTGATTCGCGCGAACTCTATGTGATCGTATCTAAATATATACATATTAGTTCTAAACTTCATTGAGTATTATTCAGAATCGAATTGAATCAACAGAAACCTTACGGATGAAACTCATTAATAAAAACTTGACCGGTACAGATTAGAACAATAGAATTTTTAACGCTAGATTTAATCACTGACTTTTGTTGCTTGAGAAATGGATTAATCAATATTTCGTCTAGGATTCTTTAAGCTGAGTTTTTCTTCCAGAATTAAACATATCAAAACAAAATATTTTATTCTTTTTAATTTTAAATAGTTTTCGAACAATATACTCTTTTGAATCTACACTTAATTAATAAAAGTTTTCCTTATCGAAATTGGTTGCGAACTAATTTATTCATTATAAAATTCAGTGCTTATTAGATTCGAAATTCTAATAAATGTATTAAATAAATTAATAAAATTGAAGAAACATGTCTTACTGTTGTTTGATACATTTTTAACGTCATTGTACCACGTTGTAGAAGACTATTTATTTGTTCAATATCAACACGTCTATAAGACATATCAATACGACGCCATAAACTTGGATGATATCTAAAATAGATATAATTTATTGATTTGTTTTTGTGAAATAAAATAATAAACATCATACCCTATTGCTCGATTTCTTCGGCAAGTTTGTATAAAAGCAACAAGAGATGTTTTATTTAAATAACTAAGAATTATTAAAATAATTTCATCTGGTAATTGACAAAAATTTAACTTAGCTATTCAAGATGAGTAATAAAAGAATTCTTTATATCTATGATAAATAAATAAAAAAAAACTTACCATCTGTTTTTACTTTATTCTTATTTGTATAACGTTGAAATGTATTTGATACATCACCAGGCCAACGTGATAATGTTGGTACATCATTAATTTTTGATTTAGTTTTTCCTTTCGATTTTTTTAAACGATCTTGAATTTTTTTTCCATTGATTATCGGGTTTTCGTGATCAAGTTCAGTTTGTGCAATTATTGTATATTTCTTAAATTGATTGAAAAATCAATTTTTAAACAAACAAAAAAAAATATTCAAGTTCACGTACTCGTTTGGTAGTAGCCATTCTTTTTTAAAGAATAAAAACAAAACAAAACATTATAATTTATTCGATCTTTAATCACGGCATCTACCGACACAGGTTTTTATTTGTTCGGTAGATGACCATAACGTTTGAAAGCACTTGATACAGACAAATATCTTACCAACGATTCCATCCAAGAATATTTATTAGTCGTTAAAAATCAAAATAACTACATGGTGAAAATTGAAAGAATTATTTATCGTATAACTAAAGAATTTTAGCCTTCGTCTATATATGACCTAATGTTAACTGAAGATTATTGACATTTGTTAGATGTTCAATGACAACGATGTTTTGAATGTATCTTAAGTTAGTATTGCAGCGTGAATGTATAGAACTTATGTTTATCAATGCTGGGAACAGCTTTCGAAGTTAAACATCAACAAACATTGAAACGAAAAACATATGTATCCAGGGATATTCCGAGGTCATCAGAATTGGGGAAAATCGATGACTCAGGAGCAGGAACGAAAAAGCTGAAATTTGATTATTTTGATTTTCTGTCAACTTTGAATCAAAGAAATCAATTCAATCCAAAAAAATCAGTGTCATCAAAGGCGTCAGAAATCTCAAAAAGATCACTTTTTAGTAATTATTATGGTAGAATTCATTCTCTAAATGTGCGAATCGCCTTCTTTTAGAAATCAAGTTCCACCTGCAGACTAATTAAGGCGCAAAATGTTTGCAATGAGGCTTTTTTTGAATAAGTGATTTATTTTAATTAAAAGTTGATAGAAAATTTTAAAAAACCAACTATTTATCTTTGCTCAGAAAGTTGATTGGAATTAAAGGTAGGGGAATGATTGAGCGTTTTTTTGGGGGAATTAAGTATTTCTTAATCAAGTACTATGAAAAACATGTTCCATCTTTTAATACAATATCGTATCGAAAGGTAGAACACCTGCTTAAGGAATACCAATATTGCGGAGAGAGGACTTAGTCCCAGTTCAAAGCGAAACATGGGTATATACTTCCAATGTTAATAATAGATCGTTCTAATCCTCTGCAGAGCGTCTAACCTACTTCTGTGACTAAACATACTTCTATATACTATTTGAAGAGTTAAGAATAATCAATTTCATTTATATTTTACTTGATTTTTTAAAAATATTTCTTTGTAAATCAATAAGAGACAATAATTTTCTTCGAGAAGGCTGAGTTACTCCTAGCACCAACAATGTACTATGTCAATAGCACAGCATAATTATTAAACATGAACATTGGAGAAAAAAGTTCACTATTTAAACACTTGTCATCTTGTTCTTAGTAGCAAACGTGATCTAGTCATCGTACTTATATAAGTCTTTCATTTTTCATGCAAAGGAGATTAGCTAACTAGATGTAAAACCAATTTTTTTCGTTATCAGTTCGGGTGGCTCGGATCGGTTTCGATGGAAGAAATCACTATATCGAAAATATTATCTTGATTTATTTTTTTTAGAAACAATGTTAATATCTTAGGAATAATTATTTGATCGTTTTCTTGATTTGAACGAGTAAATATTTGGAAAAGAAATCTATACATCTAAAATTTATTTATTTGTTTCAGTGGATCGATATGCAACTATGGCTTCCCAACCATTGACATATGATGATTGTTTTTTATTATCTAATATATGTTTAAATTCAGAACGAATTTCTAGTCTTCTTGAGTATCGTTTTAAAAGCAATTCGATTCGAACAAGCTTTGATTTTAAGTCGATTCTTCCTGAAAAACCATCGGATAATGCAAAAATTTCTCGATCATTCTTAAAAGTTCGTCCAAAAAATGTAAATTCAGTAAATAATAATGATGATAAGAATATCTTATCTGAATCATCGGAAGATGAAATTGACGAAATTTCTTCACCAAAAACACCAATCAATGTTGCCGATGATGATTATCTTAATAGTCTTGCAGAATGGGAACCTAATAACCTTCGACCAATAATTGAAAGTGATGAAGAAGAAGAACAACAACAAACGAGAAGTGATGTACAGAAAATTAATTATGATAATACTCCTGTTGATTCCATGGATTTATCAACAGGTAAGTTAAATATGTTTTACGATTTTATTAATAAAATTTTTCATAATTTTTGTAAAAAAAAGTTTTCTAAGTCACGAAAATGAAAGACATTTTCATCAAATTGTTAATGAGATGAAATCATTTTGACGTAGGTGAGATAGATCAGCCGTTACTAAAGGTGAGTACAGGACAATTTTTCCTGTCCTATCTTGTCTTATATTGTATTCTATGCTATCCCGTGCTATCTTGTGCAACAGGACAGGACAAAAAAGTAGCTGATAACAAATGAATTCATCTAGCAGCATTATGCAAAATGAGAACACAAATTTTTCATGTTGACTTTTCTAAAAACTAACAATGAATCAGTGGTTGGTTTACATATGCTACTTTTCATGCTCGAACATTGAGCAAGTTAGTATAGTTTTTTTAGGCATTAAATTTGTGATTATCACTGTTATTCTTTAACGCTCCTTTACTCTCGTTTCAATCTCGAAGACCTGTCATTCAATTGAATTGAATATGTAGATCTCATACTTCAAATCAACATTTCATTTATTCACTTTTGTCTCACTTTATTCGTCTCAGAATAAAGTAGATAAGTCCACAAGACGAGTTGGTACATCCTGTTTTCTGCCTGTCCTATTGCGCAGTCGGACAGGACGAAAACTTTAATTTCATTCTGTCTTGTCCAATCCTACAGGACCAGGATACTTACTAGTATCAAACTTGAAAGTTGAATTCAATTGAACAATTATTATTCAAGTTTCACCTTTCATTTGTCTATGTTTCTACCATACCCACATCTAGATGGATCTCGAGCATTTGTTTTTGCGACGCCCATGTCGAGAGTGATGGAATTTATTTGTAAGTTGAAATTTGAAATTTAGATTTTTCAAGCTTGACATATATAAACATATCATCAGGAATTCGTTTTGATTCTTTTCTAAAACGATCGAGCTCTTTTGCGCTTATATATAGAGCTTGGTGGGACTAGAAGAAACTTAAAAGGATTCATCATCATAAGAAGTCTTCTGGAGGTTCTGATTAGTTTACTGGTTTCATATTCCCCGACTAGTTAGTAGCAAAAAAATAGAATGAAGAAATATTCATTGGAAAGTTTATCCATACATAGGCACCTCAAATCAAATAAACCATCGTAAAAATATCATTTTTTTTTATAGATAGGTGAGAAAATTAAATCTTTTTTAATATTCAATATCTGTAGAAGGGATCATCAGTTATTATTTGAAGTTTGACAATGGTTTGTCTGTTGTAAAGAGCCTGTTTATGGACAAAGTTTCAAGTCAATATTCCTTCATTCTACGTTTCTGAAAATAACAAACATTAGGTCAAAAAACCAGTACTACAATCAAAAGATAAGCTCGATTGGCGATTAACATCTGAATTTTCAGTGGTAAAAACGGTCAGACTGGATCCTACCGACCAATGTAATGGCATGAGTCATTTTCCTGAGCGTATAATACTTCAATCGGTCACTTGATTAGTCATATCTGCGTCTAAAGTAATGCTTCAACAGTCCTTTTCTAATTATTACTTGCTATTAATCATTTCCATAAAATTCTTTTGTCTCGTGGTATTTGCTATTGAAAAGAAATCTTCATAGGACTATAACTTTTTTATCAATTGTTCACGTTTATTAACAATTTGTAAGATACGAACGTTATTTATTAATAGCATATATAATCTACTTCTTATATTGTATTCACTTCGTTATCTCTCATGTCTGTGCAAAATACCTCCTATGAACAATAGAGAAAATAAAAATCAATCTACAACAAATTACAATACGAAGCAAGTATTCAATTTAAATTTAAATACTACAACTTGATATGAAAACCAGTTGATAAAATATGATAATTATACTATGATGAATATTATTCGAATAATATAGCTTGGTACATCTACTCATACAGACTTTGTCTTGCAAATCAGTAAAAAGTGATTAATTTGTGAAAAAGTAAAATGTAAAAGCTCACATGAGTCGATAGGAAAAAAGCTATGTTTATTGGTCAGTAAGGAATCATTAACTAGACCGACTGTTTAATGTAATCAATTACAACCCTAACTAACACTTAAGAACATTCCCTCGTTAGACTTCTACAAATCGATTTGTTGTGTCCATAATAGATGTTAATCCTTTTGATTCGATTTCAAGAATTATTCTGATTATATATGTCTATGAATCCTAATTCTGTCACCTCGCGTTACCAAGCAAAACTGATCTGATATTTTAAATAATCATTTGTAATATTTATCACGGTAAAATTAAAACCTTGTTTCTTCTAGCACTTCCTATAAGTCAAGCCGAAGATTTGCTTATTACATTTATTCATCGTTCAATCAAAAGTGAACCGATGATATATGATGATAATGATTTTAATCGTTCACAATTAGATGGACAAACCGATTTTCTATTTGATAAGAATAATATACCAGAAAAACGAAAAGAAAAGCAAAACCTAGATCAAATTATATCTAAAATAAAGTCAAAAATTTCAAGATCAACTCAAACCGTTGAATTAAATGGTGCGTCAGAGCAATTTAATACGTATCATACAAATCATAATAAGAAAATGAAAATTTCTAATCAATCATACCATCAAAATAATAATAAACAATCAAAAAAGATGTTTACATCACAATTATCATTACCTTTACTTAAAACAAATGAAAGTGCTATTCATCCATTTGATAAACGAAATCGTATCTTATCAAATAATCAAAACATTGAGACAAATATTTATTCTCGTAAATTTTTAAGAAATTTTTATTAAACTAACTAAAATTTCTATGTTCTTAGAATATAAACATAATCAACAAGTTTCTTCATCGATAAAAGAAAAATCAATGGAAAGAAGTATGAAGTTAGTTGAAGACATATTGAATAATTATCAAACAACAAAACCAAAAGCTTCAAACCCAAATTTTATTCAACAGAAAAAACCTCCAACAAATATTATAAAAGCTTCTAAAGTAATTCATTTAAATCATATTACGAAAAACTAAAATAATCCTTGTTTTCTATTTAGTCAACAGATTTATCGTTTGTGAAAAATACGACGAAAAAAAAACGATTAGATACTCAATTAAATTATAATTCACGAACTACAACACGTTCATCGTCAAAAAATAACAACAAATCATTAGTAGCACATACTGGTAAAACTCTTCTAGACTATTTTAAATCTGTTAAACATTCATCAAAAAACAATAATATTCAATGTTTTCCAGTGGTAAAAAAACGAACTGATCGAGTGGAATCATCGATTAACAAGACGAAAGAAAGACCAGCAAATTATTTCGATGGATGTATTGTTATTGACGACGATGATGATGGTAATGATAAGAAGAACAACAATGATGCTAACGATAATGACATACAATTAATTGAAAAACAATGGTAAATTTTTAGGATTTATATACTTGAATGAAGTTATCAAATTAAAATATTAGCAGAAAAGCTTTCGTAGGCTAGTGCCTGTTTAAAAAAAATAGGTTTGACGGCAAGAGTTTTTTAATAACATGTACTACGAGTTTTTTAAGGTTTTTTAATTGTCTTTTTTTGAAAATGAACCTTGCATGTCAGGTTATTACAGTGAATTTTCCACCATCATAAATGTATTAGCTCTCGAATATAATCTTTGCTAGCTTAAAATTTGTAGCATGATATAAAATAGTCAATAAAAAGATTTTATCAAAGTTTTTTGTATTTGACATGATAAAAAATTGTTTCCTCGTCGAATCAAATAATCATGCGAATATATTTTAGTAAAAACAGACGAGATTGTCTGCCAGCCAGTAGAGAAAAAATGTACATTTGTGAGATTGTTTTTATATAGATGGACAGGTCAGTCAGTGAAATATTGATTAAGCTTTTTATTTTATAAGAAAAAGTTTCAAAGAAAAACATTATTTTATATAAGGAGACTTGACAGAACGTACTAGTAATTGGTGCAACTTACACTTATCACAGTCATAAATACTGATACAATCGTGTATTGTGTAGTTTTGTTAACTGTATTAATTTTCTGAAACACAAATAATCTCATCTTTGTAATTTATTTCGATAGTTCATGCATCAATTCTTAATCAAAATAACTATATATAATTATCACAAGATTCCAGTTCGAATTGAGTTGTTTATTATTTAGTATTGAAAAACTTTTGTTATTTTTTTCGCTTCTAACAATAGAATTGACATATGCGATTTTCTTACGAGTCGCGATCATAATTAAAAAACTTGATTCGTCAGTCAACGCTCAATAGTCAACCTTGTAGAAATCAAGTCTGTTCAGAACAATAGCTTAATCAACTATTTCAATTGAAAATCGGTACTCAAACTTGCACTTCTACAATTCACTCTATATATATAACGACAAATACAGTCCTTCTTACAGAATCCGACCTTTGAACAATAATCAAAAGCGATCTTTTGTTATGGGATGATGCTCTGAAGTTTTCTCTTTTAGAATGTATACAGTTGTTTTTTGCAAAATAGCTCAATGGCAAAAGACTTTTTAGAGAAGCTAATAGAGTAGAAGCCAACTTGGGTAAGCATAAACTATTCTTGATCCAGCATGGGCCATCAAAAAGTAAACTGATTTCGAGACCCATTCAAAACATAGTGGTTACTGTTCCATTATACTATTTGATGAAATTAGTGGTTTTAGCAAATGATATTTAACGATATGGTTAAAACTCTTGTGTTGTATAAATGCGCAATCTCTATGAATAAGCAGTGTCGGACATGCGGCAAATTTTCGTGATCTGAGTCGGACACTGGCGGAGACACATGACATCGAGAACAGTTTTATAAGACACGATTTCAATGCCTACAAGAAATTTCTTGTGGCATCCAAAATCTTGACTTAGTAAAGTTGTCTGTATTTTTTTTGTTTATTTAGTTATTCTATTCATAATAATATTCATACACGTGAAAAACTTCTTGATCATGCTGTTGATTCATCAGAAATGCGTATTAAATGGTTAATTAATCTGGAATCATTTTTACTTGAACATATTTCAATATGTCATCAAAAAAATATTCAACCAAGAAATGAATTTTATTTAAATAATTGCATTAAATATGAAGATATCGATAATGTATTATCATATCATATTAATACATCATTTATTTCAATAATAATTTTAAATTTCTTAAAAATGTTTATCATTCGAAATTTAAATCATGATCAAGATGAACTTTCATTTTTTCAATATGGTTTAACATCTCATTTACGTTATTTATTAATTGAATTACCAACATATAATCATAAAAATACTGATGATAATAATTGTTTACAATGTCATCAATATAGTTCGATTATAAATATTTTATTTGATTTATTATTTGATTTAATCGAATATGATCTATGTGAAATAAATAATAAGAAAATATATCGTTCAAAATTAATTGAAGATGATTATTTTAATCAATTTCTTCAACAAAAAAAGATTATAAAAAAAAATAAATTTTACCATATTAAATTAATTATTTATTTTATTGAATTAATTGAAATACATAGAAATAAATGCCAAAATAAAAAAGAAATTTTTCATATAAAGGAAAATCATATATTTCAATCGATTGAAAACTTTCTTCAACATATTATTGTAAAAATAAATACGTAAGGAAATTATTTAAAAAAAAAACAAGAAAACTTCAATAATTTGATTTAGTTTAAATAATGAACGAATTTCGATCTGTTTCAATATAATGGAATTATGTCTTTTATTTGTAAATAAAAAAGAAAATTATATAAAACAAGTGAGTTGTTGAGATAGAAAACTTGTTCAAGCAACTAGTTTTCCTTTTAAGATGGCCCTATTCTTAGCAAAATTATGTGAAGAACATCCAACATATTTACATTTGTTTTTATTTGATGAAAATTTATTACCTGATATTCGCTTATTATTAATCAATGAATTAATATGGAAGAAATTCCACATTAAATTTATTTCAATAGATTCTATAGAAGAATTTTTTGATCACATTGAAGTAGGAAGACTTTTATTTGTTTTTGTAAAGATTAATATATTTATTTTTTTTTTAAAGACTGCATTACGATTACGAAATGTAAGTATAAAAATACGCTTCGAGAAAAGAGATAACACGAAACTGCACAGGACTATATAGATTAGGGATGTAATGTAGAAGATGCACTAGTTTTACGGACAGCTTTGCACTGGTCCAAAATGTATATATAGAGTAACAGTGAAGGTAGCCAATGCATAATGAAACTAGAGAAGTTATGGATTGATTTCCATTTTGTTGTTTGAGAAAACTGCTTTAAGAAAAGAATTGAATTTTATAAAAACAGACGAAAAGATTTTTGAATTTCTCAATTCGAATTCAAAGAAAACTTACTGCGATCGAAATGAATGTAAGATTACACGCATCTCGATCATGTGTTCGCTGTCTTCGCTGTTATTCTATACGTACATGTCAAGAACAGTAGATTTTGTCTTAGTTTATTGATAAACGTGTGACAGATTTATTGAAGTTTACTTGATCTGATACGGAGTTATAGCAATGTTAATGAGATATTCAGTAACTCGAGTTCATATAAAGAGTACCTGGAAAATCGAAATCGATTATGTTAGTTAATAGAAAGCTATTCAACACCTATATCTTACTTTGTTTTTCTTTTCATGCAGGTCTCGTAGACTTTCCAGTCAAGGAATGACTCATTTTGATTTAAACAGAAATAGAATCGATCCGACCCGATCTGGTACCGATCATAAAAAATCTAGGCTAGTTCTACTTTTAAATTAAAATTTTTTCTTTGATGTTCAGTCTCATTTTTAATCCGATATTATTTTTGGTCTCTAACACGATAAGCTTTCGTTCTGTGAACTATGAAGAAATTGCCCGAAGTGATACGACACTGTCGAGTTCATATTTTGGCAATATAGAGAGCACTTACAGACCTCAATGATTAGAAAAGGGTTTCGACTCAGAGTCCATCTCTACAAAGTTACGACAATATTACATAGGACGAAATTTTGAGAAGAGCATGGAAAGAAAATTTTTTCACATGAAACTTGACCCCTAAGCAAGTCTCATGCTTCGAAAGATAGCATTAAAATTCTAAACGAAATGATTGTTTCCTTCTCTAAATATGCAATATTCAACAACAATTTACATTTCAGAAACTGTCAGAAAAATCGAAATTTTTTTGAACGTTGAATTTTTAAGAAAAAAAAAGTTACTATTTTGATTGAAACTTGTTGGATATTCTTGGGCTCATGAATCTTTCCTAGAGGCGAAATTTCAATTCAAAATTCTGTTGGTTACTTTTTCTATCAATATCCCATCCAACGGTAGAAATCTCAGAACATTGCCGTAACTCGGTAGAAAAGAATTATGAGATCAAATCCTTTGAAAATTATTCAAGTATAGGGATCTGTTCTACACGTCAAAAATATAAGCTCAAAAGTGATGAATCACTTTCGGTCATTTTTACGTAACTTTGAAACTGGATTATTGCTGCTCCAACCGATTCCGAGTTCGATACTTCATATATTAATTCAAGTGCTCTTTAATCTTGTATTTTTGCTTTGTTCTTATGCATGCAAAAAAAAACATTTCAAATACATTTCAAGACAATTTCATGTATTTTTATAGAATTTTATCAACAAAATTTGAATAAATCTATTGTAAAGTTGTCTACCACGATTTTTATGAATAGATTGGCATTTAGAGTGTTTAAGTCACAAATTGCGAGAAAAGAAAAAAATGAAAGTTAATCAAATTCGTATTTTATCATTTTTAGCCAATCGATGACATGGCATTGCTACTCATCCGAAGTCTTTTCAATACATATGCTGATTTAGTGTTGAGTAAGTTACATAGATGATATGACAAAAATTTGAATTTTTTTTTTCTTCTATAGATATAAAAAATTGTGTTTCCATGAATTCTTTAACTGAACAAATAATATCAATGTTACGTAATCAACTTCAATTGATTTACATTACTTTGACAGATATGTCTTATGCATCAAATTATGCTCCACAGATCAAACGAACGGTGATACTTTTTCGTTTACTCCAATTTAAATGGAAAAGATTTTAAATTAATGTATTTTCTTTGTTTTGACATTTGTGTTTCATATTCATAGTTGTTCGATAGGTTGTTTTCCGGTGATTTCTATTTTTTTTTTGTGTTTATGTTAATTAGATTTATAATAAGAAAATATAGAGAATGTCGAACAGCTTCAATTATATAAAAAACTATTCAAACTTTTTTCAAATTGTTTATTAGGTCGATATAAACAAATAGTTGAATCAAGATCTTTTTAGATTGGATAGAAATTTTATCTAAACTTCTGATTGAAAAAAATAATTGAATAATGTTGACCTTCTTTAACATGTACAACTTTTTTGAGAGGTTTTCCCGAGAATTTTGGATTTTTTTATTTATCATTCGGCAAATATAAAACATGACAGAAATGTTGCATCGAAATGAGCTGTATCTCAGGATATACAGAGGATTTCATTTCAACCAAGCATTATAACACAAAGACTGAGTTCTTGAAGTTAATTCACAAACAACCAAAATTACATTTATATTGTTAACACACACAGAGTTATTTTCTCATGGGAAATATTTGACGTAACGCGTCATTCATTTTTATTCAAACGATGAAAATCTAAACTCAAAAGATGAAGTTTTAATGTAATTTCACCAAAATCTCTGAATGCTTCAAAAACTGCTAGTCCAAAATCATGATTGTTGTAAATTTTCGAAAACAGCATTCTTTTCTTGAGTGACAAGCGTTGATATGTAAAATGTTTGGACATAGCTGAATGATGGAGGTTTTTTGTAGATTAGATAATAGCAAACAACTTTCCTTCAAGGATTAAAGGTCACAACGAATAAAAGATCAAAAGAAACGATTTTGTATAAGTATTCACATGAAACTGAGGATGTTATTAGAATCTATTCAATTATGAACCTGAAAATTTTCCACTTATGTCGTTCGAAACCAATTCGAGGGATGCCACTTTACCATAAAAAGTCAATTATAATTTAATTTTTTATAAGATCATCGTCAAGATTTTCCGAAAAAAGTGTAGAATATGCTAGTCACCATTCAGGTCCGAGTCTAAAATTTTTGGATCCAATGGTCTTTAAAAGCTACACATTATAAAAGAGAAAACATTCTATTTGGAGCGTAAATTACAAATATAATTCTTTTAATAATAAACTCTATCTGAGCAAGACACCCAGCCAATAACATCTGGTAGTCACACCAACCATGCGAGGAAAGCTACCGTTACTGGCTAGTTACAGTGTTAGGTGAAGAAAAATTGATGAGTCTGATTTTTCATCAGAGAACGGCTATTTTGTGATAATATTGTTTTTCCATGAAGTTTACTTGAAGAATTTCAAGATCGAGAAGTTCAATTAGATAATTCATTATTCAAAATTAGTGGGTTTGATTTTCCTCAATGAACTGCCTGTGGATTAAGATTCTTGGGCTTCAAAGCCCTTCGATCAAACTCTATGAAAAAATGGTATTTTCGCAAAATAGTCGTTCTCGAACAAAATATCAGACTTTGAAATTTTCTATTCCTTAGCAGTGTGACTACTCGATGAAGGCAGTTCTCCTTGTATAATTCGTGTCAACGTTAACATTCGTCTATTAATACCGTATTAGTTTTGTAACATGCTTAATTCCATCGATAATAGTTTTTTGTTATTCAATCAATAATGTTTTAATTAAAACAAAAAAACAATTATTGGCGCATGATTCATTTCGATTTAAAGATTGTATAATGAAAAAGGTTTTCGGCAAACACGATTTAAAAGGAATGTTGAAGTCAAGGAGTCATATTTTGGATCACTTCCTTCTCTCACATATGTGACAGACATTGTTGATATCAGAACGCATATCTAGAACTTTGTCCCAGAATAGTTAGCATAAAATAATCTTCGTATCATTAGCGACAGCAACTATTGTCCATTTCAAAATCGAATGTGCTCCACTGTTTTTTGAATAATTCGAGAACACAAGTAGCTAGAGACCTGCGATTTTCACCAATCGAAAGAGGAGACCGGGGCACGTCTTTTTCTTCGATAATGTATGAGAGGAAATCCTTTTAAAACTAATTATTTTCGAAAAGCATATAAAAGAAGACATAAAAATGACCTGACCTCTCGATAATATTTTGATTTTGACCTTTGATTTAGATAGAGGAACTTCAAGTCTATTATTCAAGATACAATGCAGATTGATTCTCTTATTAAATTCTAACATTAAGCAAACTGGGTCATGTATTTATATAAGCAAATAATAGGGATTTTTTCTAATTTTTTACTAAATTTTTTCATTTTTTAATATAGTACCTTGACATTTCGATGGAAATGTAATGAAAAGTAAGAAAGCGTATTATATCTTGAACTATAGATTTGACGTCCCTCTATCTAAATCAAAGATCAAGATCAAAATATTATCGAGAGGTCAGGTCATTTTCATGTATTCTTTTATATGCTTTTCGAAAATAATTAGTTTTAAAAGGATTTCCTCTCATACATTATCGAAGAAAAAGACGTGCCCCGGCCTCCTCTTTCGATTGGTAAAAACCGCAGGTCTCTAGCTACTTGTGTTCTCGAATTATTCAAAAAATAGTGGAGCACACTCTATTTTGAAATGGACAGTAGTTATCGAACATTAAGTAGTATTGACCATGATGAAGACTATGCAAACGCTGAAGATCAACTAATAACTATTTTTGAAGATGGAAAACTTTTACATGAATATTCGCTTGAAACAAGACGAGCTGCGTGCGATATTGATATTGATCGGCTAGATATTATGCATGTCAAGTAAACAGATCGTTTTTTTTGTAATAAACTTTTTTTCATTTTGATATCTGTAATAATCTTGATCCATCTTTTTGCTTATCATGAATGATGATTAAAATATTGAAAGAAACAATTATAATAACCTTGATTTATCTTTTCCATTATTCGATTTTAGAATATGTATACTAAAAGCTCAAAATGATTTGAAAATACAACATTTTATTGAATATGTTATCTTAGTTGATAAATCAGTTTTACTCAATTTGCATATTTATGTGGTAGCAGTTTTTGACGAATATTGAATATCTTCATCATTTTAAAGTGAACCTATTTTCTTTTTAGGCTGTGTGAGTGAGTGTGGATGTCGGACTGAAAGTACTTATGTATGTGAGCAGTACATGGAGGGAAAAGCAGATTTTGACGTTTAAAATCTCTTAAAATCTTTTAAAATATTCAAATCTTAAAATCCGCTTTTTTCCCCTTGAGCTTGTGTCACCATTTTACGAACATTTATTCTATCAAATTCATTACAGCAGGTATTAATACACAATTGAAATAAAAGAATAAAAAGTTCGACACTTCTAATAGTTTCATTTGTAGTTACTTGATTGAGAATAATCCACAGGCAACGTTTTACTACCTGGGTATATCAAAATGAGTTGATCTGCTATTTTTTGAATAGTTAAGTAGTATCGTTTAAAAAATTTTTCCAAGTGAAACAACCAAAAAGGAACGAAATTCTTTGATAGTAATCAAAGAGATAGATTAATTAATTGCAAGACTATTTCTTGTAGTAGAAAATAAAACAGGTTGTTGCAAATAGAATATTCTTGTTTAACTTTCAAGGTAGTCAAATTTACAGTTGAATGTCTGCTAGATTGTGGTGGAGAATAGAGCAAAAGAATTGACAGCTAAATATGGATGAAAATTTTGCAAGAACTAGAAAGAATACAATTTTCAAATCAATATGTAAAGCACAAATCTGCTCCTTATGAATAAACATCTTGATCGATTTTTACATTAATCAATTTCTTTAATAAAGAAAGAGCCATAGGCACAAAATTGAAAATAAATATTACTTTAAAATTGTGATCTTGATAATACTTTTCAACTCAATTTTTCTTCTCTATTTGAATTAAAAACATGCATAAGAGAAAGCTCAAGTGAAAAGTGCCACATTAAATGCTTCCATCATTTCACCTGATTCTTGCGTTTGACGCTGCAAAGTTACCACCAAAACAAAATGAAAATATTTTGAACGTGATAGTGGAATTCAAATCAATTACTATTAAGTTTGATTTGAATAAAATTCATCATTATGAGTGATTTTCGTTTTGGTTTAGAATAATCTAAGATGATATGCTCTTTTCAAATTCTGACTATTAATTATTTCGTTTGATCCTCCTCTTTAATCTAAGAGATATTCGATTGCATTAGAAGTCAAATAAAACCATTCTTTTCCTGATTGTGTGTTTTATTTTCTATTACAACTGATTGTCTGTGACGAAATTTTCTTGCAAAAGATAGACCAACGACGAAATACCTTGTGAGACATCATCAAGAATCAGTGAATGCAACAATCAACAATAACGGATCACGTCAATGTTCTTGAGCTCATGATTCAAAATGATCGCTTAATTATCTCACACATCCCTTGACACGAAGTGTATAAAGTCTTAAGATCTATTTGCGAGTGTCAATGTGGATGCAAGTGTTGTCTCAACGGCACTCACACACATCCACAACCACGTCAACCAGCAGAAAGTGGATATTTGATAACTTCAAAAGCACCTGTATCGTGATGTGTTTCAACGTATTTGACGCATGGCTGAAGTTAGGTAAAAACTGGTTTTGTACGTTGAAATTTTTCAAGTTTTAACGTTTTTTTTTTCTGTAGAGTTTTTCACTGATACATTTTGGAAGAAAATATATATTGTAGAACTTTTCCTTTGTTAAGATCTTCAAAAAGCATTACTTGTTAATGACCGAAACTGCTCTTCGTAGTTAGTATTGACTTTCTTTATAAAGCAGTTTGTAGAGTATGGGACTTGTTTTTTTCATAGAGATATAAGTGAGTGATTGAAAAAGAAATGTCTTTCCAACTGATTGGCGTGAAAGGTAGAAGAAAAAGAGTATGCTGATTCACATGGCTTTTTTTCTTTCCTTCCAAGGCCTGCATTTTGTATTTTTTCACCAAAAACAGCGCAATTTCTTACTGCGTAAAAGAGAAATGATCTACAATACACAGGGGTAATGCGTACAATTTTTTTTCTTATAGCTTGCTGCGTTATATCTTTCTCGAACAGCAAAAATTATTTCGAAACCGATCGTTCAAACATCCAACATGTTACGTACACTGGGAAATTCTTTGATGCGACAAACTACACGTATTCTTCGTTGTCCTCGATTTGTATCAACGAATCCAACAGCTGGTTCAATCAATGAAGCTCATGATAAGTTTGCAGAACGTGAACAAGCTTTGGAGAATGCTTATTTTCGTAAACATAACGAAGAACTTTTAGCAAAATTACGTCACCACCATCAATTCTTGGAAAATCAATCTGATGAAATAGAACGTGAACAAAAACGTATCGAAGAAGAAATCAAACGATTAGAGAAACATCGTGAAGAATTGATGAAAATACATCTGAAAAAAAAGAATCAATGAACAGAAAAACGCTTTCAAGTTGATTAGACAGTTATCTTTGTGTATATATTCTTTCATTGACACCGTTATGATCCATTTCTCTTCGAAATTGTGCACTTTCTTGTTGAGTTAGAATAAAGTTGATAAATGATCAAAAC